TTTTTCCAGATCCATGGAATGGCATTTCTTCATAAGATTTGTTTGACTGTTATTCATAGATAATGATATTATTGGAATATTTTTCCAGATCCATGGAATGGCATTTCTTCATAAGACTTGTTTGACTAGTATTTCATAGATAATGATATCATTGGAATAATTTTCCAGATCCATGGAATGACGTGTGTTTCCTGTGTGCATTCTATAGAGAGTAACTTGATAAAACGCCCTGGCATCATCTCAGTATCCATTGCTCTTGCCACGCAGTTAGGTAAATTTCAGTTTGATCCTGAAGTTACGGGCCCTCGGGATATCGTTGATGCTATTAAGGTAAGTTGTTATTATCACTTATCCTATTTAAAACAATTAGCTCAAGAAACAATATGTACATTATAGTAGTTAATTTATAAACATATTTATTCTTTGATAAAACACAAATATAATAATCTTTAATTTTTCCATTTCAGGGTTTCAGCATTAATTTTGTTTTGTTTGGTAAATTTTAAAACAAAATCGGCTAAACATCCTTTATCACAAAAACAAAAACCAACTTTATATGTTTCATTAGTTTCCTCTGATGAGAAAATTATGCCTTATTAACCATTCAGGTTAAATATTTACAGTAAATCCTGTTGGCCAAGCAGTTTATCCATTTCTATCAAGATCAGGAGTTATTTATGGCTATTTAGAAACTTAATTCGATCTCAATGAGATGGTGGAAAGTGGAACTACTGAAAATTGACATTTTTTTGTGTTCTGGTAGAATTTTATGATTTAGTCAACTGTAGTAGAGTAAGAAAAAAATGATTTTCGACCATAGGAACTCTATAATTCATATAATTTCAAATTGTAAAAGCATAAAACTAGTGAAGTTGAAAGTGTGCCACTTTCAGAGAAAAATGAAAGTTTTGTCAAATTTGAACTTAGTTTCAAAGAATGGAAGAATGTTATTCTTTGTATATACATAATGTCTTTCAATTTAAAATTGTGAACTGAATGCTGTTAACTACCAGCAACTGGTTTAGAAAATATTTTTATCAGTTTTTCAAGATATGTCAAGCAGATATCAATAAGGCTAGATAGTCATAACAAGCTGCTGAACAAAACACACAGTTTCCACTATGATTGAGATAGTAAGTTAAGAGCATGTGTGTAGGCGGCGTGTGCTGTCGATTGGTTGCTCACTTTCTGGTCAGTACTTCTCAGTTAGGGAAGGCTATACCTGAATCCAGAGATACCAACCATTCCTGTTTTGCAGAATTATCCTGATTTTTAATGTAACATTATTATGTCATTATTATCACACTTTTGAATTCCTATTTTTTTACATTTTGCAGGTTTGATATAAAACAATTTGCTAAATTTGTTATGGTGGTTTTGTTATGAAATGACAATCCAAAGCTTTTAGGTGTTTCAGCATTTGTACTTCTGGAGTTATATTCAAGCACTATAATAACATTCAATAAAATATTGACCAATCAGAAGTCTTAGTGATAGTCAGCTAATTCTGAAGTACGGATAACCATACTAGTTTCATTGCAAAATGTCAAAACAAAAGGTGGTAAGCACTTAACCAAGAATGTGTATTTTAAGAAAGTGTGGGGGAAGGAGTTCCATATTGGGATGCCACCCTCACAACAAGTAAATATATTACTTTAAAAAATACCCTTAAAATATAGATCGAAGTATGAGAACAACTTCAACCAAACTGTTACAATATAATAAGAAATTGTGTCCCAATACAGAACTTTGGCATACTGGAACAAAGAAACAAAAAAAAAACCTCAAAAGAACTAATGTCAAGTAATTTTTATACGTAAACAATACTCGTACAATAAACTAAAGGAGAAAAAAATATCACCCACATTAATTACAAACGGCATCCCAATAAGGAACTCTTACTAATGATTGTTGTTGAAGAAATTTAAGTCCCCTAATGGGACGACAGCAAATGTATGGACTTGCATGCTACAATCCAGGGTTCAACTCTGCATGGTGGACACAGCAGATAGCCCAGTTTGATTTTGCTCTACAAGAAATACAAATTTAACTCTGGATACACTGCTGACTGGCCATGCACTAAATTGTCCAAAATAAACCATGCATTTTACACTTTATTCCATTATACTTTAGCATCACTGACATTGGGAAGCAAGTGCATAAATTAATTCATTCCTATTTTTATGTTATTTGGAGTTGGCACCTCTGCTGAACTGTGGGGGTTATCTGACCTGGCCAATTAGCCCATGTCTTGCATAAAATGCTATTCAGGTTGAAAATACCAATACCCGAATATTCACTTTTATATGCATTTTTTTGAATTATGTACATGTTTGTTTAGGAAACTTAAATAAATAGTTTGGAAAAGTATATTCATTTCTTGTGATTATGAATTATGTGGCTGTTTGCGTGATGCCACGTGAACATAATTGTGTGTGAAAAGGATAATGATCTGTTTGTCAGACTAGAAGCATTTTGGTGGTAATTATTGAATCTTAACTTTGTCTTTATTAAGTAAATGCTATAAAATTAAACTAGCCATTTGTTGTTAATTTTTAGTAGCTTTACATGTTGTTATTAGGATTTGGGATTTGGTGCCTCAACTATTACAGACCACAGAAGAGATGCTAGTTACTTATCTCAAAAAGAAGAGGTGAAAAAGTAAGTTACAATATGTACTTATTGTTAATTATAGACAAATGTTAGAAATAGATATTTTTAAAATAGCAATAATTTCACAGGAGAGTTCATCCAGACAGATAAAATAAACAAATGAAATGTAGCATTCAGGTGCATCAGAATTTAGCAAAAACTTTAAGGGGCAGTGCTAATTCCTTGGGGCCATAAGTTGGAATGTGTTTAAACCCCCACCCTAAAAAAAATACTAATTGCATTATTTTGAAAAACTATAAAATATCCTGAAAGATACTGGTGAAGTGGTTTTGGTGCATGAGTAGGAATGACAAAAGATACTGGTGAAGTGGTTTTGGTGCACGAGTAGGAATGACGAAAGATACTGGTGAAGTGGTTTTGGTGCACGAGTAGGAATGACGAAAGATACTGGTGAAGTGGTTTTGGTGCACGAGTAGGAATGACGAAAGATACTGGTCAAGTGGTTTTGGTGCACAAGTAGGAATGACTTTTTAATAAGTGTATCAATGCATATTGGGGTTCATTCCTACTCATGCACCAAAACCACTTCACCAGTATCTTTCATCATTCCTACTCATGCACCAAAACCACTTCACCAGTATCTTTCTTGAATCATAGATATTTTGTTTATACTGAACTTAACAACCAATCTGTGCACTTCATGTGTGTCTGATTGAGAGATGTCATACAGCTGCTATTTTTAAATATCTTGTCTGTTATTGAGTGATGTGTTTTTGGATTGCTTTCATTAGAAACATGTTTTTTCAAATTAGTACAATATTAAAACAAGCAAAACTATCATGAAAATAATAAACTCCCATTAATCAGGGGTGCTGAACAGTTACTTAGCTTGCTTATACATCCTGCACTACTACTAAGAATTTTCTATAGGAGTTTGTTCAAACAGATGAAATAAGCTCATTAAATGTAGAATTCATGCACATTGTGATTTGAGAAGAATTTCACATGAGAGTTCATTCAGAAAGATGAAATAAAGTTGATAAAATATAGCAGTGAGATTGTCTGTTGAACATTGTTAACAAAGAGATAAGAACCATTGTTTAAACTTGACACATAAGAATAATTTCTGAAAAGTCAAATGAAGTTTATGTGAGTTAATGAAACTGAAAAAATAACAAGTACAAAACAGATCTTGCTGTGACTTGATGAGTTAGTAGTGTTTTGTTCTGGCATTACATCATAAACTCTACCTTTCTATAAACTTGCAGTAAATCTAAAGATATACAAGAGTTTTTACATTTCCTACATGTTGTGCGAGTGTATAAAAAACCCATTAAAATCACATGTAGACCTAGCCCAAAGGTTGTGGGCTCTGTGATGGGAGACAGGCAAGGCTACTTTAACCCATCACATAGACAGTCTTATGTTGGTGGTTGGCATTTTCCCAGTGAGGCTACTTTTACAATATCTACATGTGGATGGGGAGACAGGACATGAGATCTTGTTTAGCTAATCTATACAATCATCGCCACTCATTGGGTTGAAGTTTCACAAGTTTTAACTCCCTCTGGACCTGTGTAGTCCCATTGGTATCCCTTGATTTTTTCCTCCTCAAGATGGAAATACTTGAGCAACTTTCATGAAAGCTAGTGCACTTTTAACTAAATAGTGTCCAGTGCCAGCTGTAAAAAATATTACATGTAATTTGATTTATTTTCCTACTATTTTTTAAATAATGAAACATTTTTTTGTGAGACATGATTTTGGAAAAGCATTAAAAATACCTACTTTCTTTTCAGAATTTCGTTTTTTTTATGTTGATCTATTTTATTTATCCAGTCAATTTTTGATTGATATTCAATTAATATATTCATTTTGATACTTTATTTTGCCAAGTGCATTAGTCACCACTTCCAGGCATAAATTGTAAGATACTTTAAAAATTGACAAGGACCTATGACCTTACTTGTCACAATTACCATTTTCAGGTTACGTAACATTATTTTTGTCAACAGTGTTCTTTGTTAAGATAAATGTGTTTCTAATAAATATACTGTCTTTCCTTTAAGTAATAAGTTGTTTTACTTATTTACGCTGCTTGAATACAATAAACTTAGTAGTAAAATTCAATAAGTAAGAATCTGAGTCATCAGAATGCTTTCCTATCTCCTACCATACTTGCTAAACCTAACTAGGCTTACATGGTATCTTTTCATAAAAGAAAATTTTAGTAGTTATCAAACAGATATAAATTAACACAAAAACATTTTCAAAACGGATCATTTAAAGAAATTATAAACAAATTTCCAGATCTATGCTTCTTTCTCAAGTTTTCTAAACCTCCAATTAGAGTTTTTGTTGATGCTGGAGCTCCATGGGGTAGAGTTTTTCCCCTAAAAACCATAAATTACAACTTGCACAACATTATTCTTCATTGACATAAATAGTTTGTAATTTGTTCTATTCACTGCTTTTTAAACCTTGTCTGTAGCTATTTACAAGACTGTTATACATTAATGAACATTCAGACCATATGCTGTGATCTTATAAAAGAGTAGAAATAAAGGTATGTAACAATAAAATCTCGGAGAGAGAAGGAAAACCATGAGAGAAACAAGATACGGCTAATTGTTTTCTCAAGGGATAATACCTTCTTAGCAAATAATTATCTATGTTTTGTTTAGAAAAATTGTTAAACAATTGATAAGTGCAGTGTTTACAGGCAAGACTCCTCAGAGCTTAGCAAAAATGTAAGTTTGAACACTTTTACAATTTTACTTTACAAATAACATTAAATAAAAGTTACAAAATGAAAAAAATAAATATATTCTGAATTATTTTGTATGTTAAACTATTATTTTTACTTAAATTTTGAAATTTGATATGCAGATGTTCATTTTACATTTGAAAGGGTCTTTCTGAAAAGGTTAATTCTTTTTTCACAGCAAAGGTAAAATGCTGAATAAAGAGACTGGCATGCTGTCTTTTGCCTTCATTTACTATGGTGCTGAGTATGGTGTAGTAGTAGTAGCATGCTGGACTGTGGGCCCATGTGATATTATCACACAAAAAAAATCAAACTCCGAACATTTGGAGTTTGGGTGCATTTATAAGGGTTATGATTGAATCCCTCTTTTCAGTCATACAAGAATTAGTGGTGGGTACTGTTGACTAGTTGAATTTCTTCTAGTCTATCAGTTCAAAATTAGGGACATTTATAGCTGAAAGCCCTTTACGAGAATGTTCAAAAACAGCTAAAACATTTGCTGCTGGTATATTTTTTCAGCTAATTTTCAGTTTTTGTTTCTTGTCACTTGTATTATATTCTTTTAATTTAGTTTCATTGTATTTAACCAATCAGTTGTTATTTTCTACCTTGTCATAATTTTCTGTGTACAATAAAATGTTTTTGTATTGTACATTTTGCTCACTTTCTATTTAACTGCCCCCCAGTGGCACAGAGGTATGTCTGCAGACTTACAATGCTGGAATTTGGGTTTTGATACCCGTGGTGGGCAGAGCACAGATAGCCAATTGTATACCTTTGTGTTTAATAACAAACAAATAAACATCATCTATTTTACTAAATATAGTTATTTTGTATCCATTATTATATTCAATTCTTAAGCCTCTTGTTATTAGTGGGATATGATTACTTTTATCCTTAATATTGTATATTAAGAATATCACAAAGTATGTTAGACATACTCTTTTGATGTCTTGGTTAGAAGTTGGCTTGTGTCTGATTTTAGAGGAGTGAAAATTGACTTTCTGTTTTAAGTTTTCACACATTGTGTTATTCTGTTAGACGTTAGAAAATGCCTCTACAGCTTGGACTTGAAAGAACATATGCACAGTGGTGCCAATCCATTGTCCGAGAACCCACAATCAGTCCAAAAGGATCTCTTCTTGGACTTGTAGTTCTTTCTGTCACTCCATTGGATGACCATTAGGTTTTTGTTCAAGAGCACCCATCAAAGACCCAAGCCTTCTAAAGTTGGCCAACTTAGTCCCTCTGAATTAGAGATGAGTATGCAAGTGACAAATCATTATCAGGATGTGTTTGAACTTGGATGTGTTGAGAACTTCTGTACTATCCATCTTCTGGTATTCATTACACCCATTGCTTGATAGATGTGACTGTGGTGCATGTATAGGAGACACAGCCGTGGGGCAAGATACAGGTTTTACGCCATTCAACAGCTAAGTGGAGTAATTTGCATGCTATAAAGACAAAACTAGAGTTTAGTGGTGATTTCTTTGCTGTGAAAAGACTGGTTGGTATGCTAGAGTTGCTATCTCCAGCTGCATACCACTGTTCAGAACTTGAATGCATACCTTGCATTTAGTCCAGGGGTCTCCAAACCTTTTTGGACAATGGCCGGGAGGTTTGATCTTTTTTAGGCTTTGTGGACTGGAGGGGTTATGGTAAAATTAAGTTGGGATGCAAACATGATCATATTGGCTTTTATTACTTTAAACTCTTTGCGAGCCAGATAAACTGAAGTCGCGGGCCGTAGTTTGGAGACCCCTGATTTAGTCAACTCAGCATTTGCTCTTAAGCCTGGAAAATCCAGCATTGAATACCATTGATTAAGTACTTGGACTCCAATTAGCTTTGTATTTAGGACATCATCTTAGACTCCAATCAGCTTTGTATTTAGGACATCATCTTAGACTCCAATCAGTTTTGTATTTAGGATACCATGTTACAAAGTTTGGAGGAAATTGGACCTAGTAGAAAATGAAGGAATTTACTAACCAAACTTAAGGCTTGGTGTCTTAGGCCCAACAAAAGCTTGTCTGCTATCTTATATTAGAAGATGTACCTCAGCAGTGGTTATGGCATCACATGGATGTCAGGAATAATTTAATCTTTAGAGAATCTATGCACAGAGCTATAAGATTGGAGACTATCATTCCCCTCAAGTTTATATATAAAAGGAAGCTGGAAGCAGTGACTTCATCTTCTGATTGGCTTCTTAAGGCAGCTAAACTTTGGAAACTTCAGGATAAATTAAGATCTGCCCTGCCACACAATTATCAGACATTGTAAGTTACTGAGGTTGTGTTCAGCAAATAGGCAGATGTACATTGAACCTGTGTTGTTGTCTGAGAGTTATGCAGGTTTTCTCTCTGATAGATAAAAGCAGATTATGAGGTTTTGTAGTGAGAAGCTAAGGTAATACACACAGACCCACCTATGCCATGTGTATTCTCAAGATGGGAATCAAGTCACCCAACTGTTCAACAGCAGTGAGAAGATAAGAGACAGGATATGGAAGCTTCTTCTCCATCTAGGTTAATCTATCATAACCTCCATCAAATTTTGCTACTGACCTGGAAAGATATATTAGATTATCTGTAGTTAAAGTTCTGGAGGCTGACTCAGCAGTTTCAAGGCACATGCTAGCTTGGTCTGTGGAATAGGTTTTTTGGAACTTTGAGGAAAGACCATTCACAATTGACCAAGTAGTGCCCAGAAACAGTAAACTGTATGAGTAACTGTTCAAGAAAACATCATAATTCCTGCTTTTGAAACCGAACACTCTTGCAATATTACCTGCTGAAGTACAAGTGTATAAGAGAATGTAGAAATTCCTGCTTTTGTATAGGTTGTGTAGTAATACTAACTAATGTCTAAATGAATGTAAGGTTGTGCCTACCTCCAGTTATTTCTGTGTCATTCTTCGTACCTGGTAAGAATTACACCTTAAAATACTAGAATCTGTTGCCAGGAAGCTAAGAAAGATGAGAGCACTAACACTACATCTTCAATTGTGAAACATGAACTTTGATCAGTAGATGACTTCTGTAATGATGTGTTTCTGTTTGTTTTGACAGATTAATTGCTGGAGGCTTAGAAGGAATGCTGCAGGTTCAATATCTATTCAAAGATAACATGAGTCAGAATATAAAACTTCATGGAATCAATTGTATGAATTTTTTGTCATGTTATTTTCTCTGTGTAATGCACCAGCTTGTTTTAATTGTCTTGTGTAATGTGCATAATATAGTTTACAGTTAAAATGTATTTTCAGTTTGTGACATACTGATATTTGGCCAATTTTACTTTGTAGCAACAAAGATTATACTAGTATTTCATTGTACACAGAAAACAGGACTAAAACCGAAGTCAGAAAAAATTTGCAATCATGCATACACACACATGAAATTTTTTGGCAATACGCAAGGCAGGGATCAAATCTCTATCAATCTTAAGAATACCACACCAACTGAGAACCAGTGAATTTTGCTACTAAGAAAGAATTCTGTTCATTTCTTAGCTTTACTGATGTTTTATGGCAACTTCTCAAAAATAATTACTGTGCTTTCTGCACTAAGTAAAACTGATTCACATTTTAGATGGACTGAAGACTGTGAACAAGTATTCCAGTTACTAAAATACACTATCTAAAAGTATAATAGTATCTTAATGCATGGCACTGCAAACAAGGCTTTTTTTCTCATCAAATTAGCCAGAAATGCAACATATAGAGTCATGGTTGAAATGCTCTTTATATTAGTCAGTTACAATATTTATTATCTTGAAGCATGCTCTATTGATTTTGGTCAGTAGTTTCTGTGGTGTTAAATTACAATAAGAATTACAGTAATTGTTTGTAAATCTTTCTTTACTGATCCTGTACTGTGGGTTTTCAACAAGAAAAAATTAAGTAACATCTCAACTAGACACCTTGCACACCACACACCACTGGTGAGAAGGCCCTTTTCTCAATACCAGAGGTCATGAAGCCATATGAGAATGCAACACACACATTTTTGGTCAAAATACTATTTATATCAGTAATTCACAATATACAAATTATTCTGGTGTTTGACACCTTTTGTCATCAAACCATAATATATTCTTTAGTAATTGGTGACATTATATCACAATAAGCTTGAGTTACTTTTGTTACCCTCACCCCTGGGTATTGTACACAAGCTGGGAAGTCAGTATGGGACAGTCCTCCCCAAATTTGGTCCGGATTCAACTCCAGGTTCTGGATCACTTTGAAGCATTTTTATATAACAAGGAGGTAGAGCATTTTCACAGTTTGGGATTAAAAACTCTATAAAGAGTAATTGGATTTGTGCCAAATTTCATGGGCACATTAACTCTATCGTGATAGGTCACATGTCAAAGGCCATGTCATCACATTTTTTGACTCACATTCAAAAATTTATTAAACTCCTATTTTATTAATTTATATCAATA